AAAAAATGGCGAAAATCGACGAGAGATAACAAAAAAGAGGTGTTTCTACATTTCGATGTAAAGAGAAATTGCCTGCTGGTGGAAGTGTGCCTGCCAGCGAGGCAGAAGTGACGGCGGCGGCAGCGTGGCACAAATCTGGCAGACCGTAGCAAATGCCTCTGGTATCAATAATTATCTCATTAACAGGATGAACATAACGAGCTCGACGAGTATAAGTCGGTGGGGTGATGTGGGCAATTCACGAGTGTCGAATCGAAAAGTGAGCTCTTATGGTGAGTTTGGAAAGCATATATACATAGGTACAGGTACATCCATGCGTCGGTCGGCTGAGCGGTGGCGGCGTCTATATATTTGTTCAACATCAGAAAGATGTGCGTATCGTGATATTGACTCTTTCGGCGAATTGCAATAAATAGCATCCGTGGAATCGTGCTTGCTCGGGCAATCACATGAATTATGGGGTACATTTGGAGTATCTTTGCACGCAAGCCTGTTGTTAGGAAATGGTGGGTTTCAAGCAGGAAATCATACCAATATTGGACGAAAGTTTTATGGATAACATTGAGGTCTTCAAAATCGATGTTAGAACTTTGCCTAGATACGATTTGAACCAATTGATTTCTTTTTAATTTAAGCTGCAACGTTCCAACCCAAGTCAAGAAATTTACCTATGAAAACAAATGCTAAATCTGACGGGAAATCAAACTCGACACCCTCGCATACACTGACCCTGATTGTAGTCAGTTAAAAAACGAATAGTTCCTGCGTAGTTTTGACAAATTTTCCATAGTTTTATTTTACTTATGCTAATCCTAATTTGCTTGATCCAAACCTGATGATTCTTGACTTGGGCAAAAATTGACGGATGGTAATTTGTTGAATACTTCGATTACACTACTGGAGTCAGTTATTTTTACTGGTGATCGTTACTTCACGCAAACCAAACATTTATTACATTTAATTATAGTTGCTTTTCCTCTATCATCCTCCGCAGCGAATATCCCTGAGAATGATTTAGGTTGCCCTGATTTCTGTCAACGCTTTCGACTATAACAGCAAGCATTTTATTTAGAACATTGCAGAACGACGAACACACCTCGATTCTCACTAATTTCCGTTCTTCAGAAAAAGCAAAAGAAATCGAACCATCGTACTATGAGCGCTTCGTATTCGCTTTTAGCGTATCTTAATTCTTCTCAAAAATGCTATGTTTTTTCCTTGTTTGTTTTCCATACTAAGCACCAATGCTACTGACGCCAGGGAGGCAGCTCCCACACCAGGACCCTACCTATCGACCCATCAACTCATGAACCGGGTACCAACGGCTTAACTTCCCTTCCGCGATCAGAGATATTATGCCTCAGAACATACCGTTGGCGCCGACTGGGATTGAACCCAGGCTACCAGTACACCACCGGCACCGCCATAAAAATGCTATGCTGATAATTTTAAAGTTTTCATTATAATTGTTCAAAGTGAATGTATCCTGAAAATCTTGTCCAGTCTAGTTGCCTAGAATTTTTTTTTTCTAGTTTCAAAACCTTATCTTTCTCGTAGAGAGGATGAAGTTTATTTTTTTCCGATTTGTCATCACGGGTGTATCCTGGTTTTCCGACACACGGCACTGTAACCCATCAAGTAACCGAAAAGTAAGTTAGTTACGCCGCCTCTGACTGCCATCACAAGTACCGCATAGTTTGGCTTCGACATAGGCTTCGGAAATTGAATGTTCCATCAATGTAGGGCTGCTCGGTTGGGTCCGAGAGGTGGGGAGAAACGGAGGTATCGCACCCCAGAAATAACATGAAAATTCAATTAGAGTCAATTTTACTTTCATCTAGCACTGTTTATTTAAAGTTAACAACCTTTTCGAATCGATAAATGTAACTTGATGTTTGAAGGGTACCGACACAGGCATCCATTTTTTAATTAGATGATTTTTGTTTTGTGAGTCATAATTAAATAGGGGAAATGCATGTAATGTCGGCCTAAATGCCCCTAATGTGAGCCCATACATAAATTCAAAAAACGACTAAATTTTCAATGGCGACCAAAGAAATCCATTAGTACCGTCCCAATGACGCGTTTATCTAGATAAAATTGATAAATAGCAGATTTTTAGCGATGGGCCCAATCTTAGATCCATAGGCCAACATTATAGCCATTTCCTCTATCTTTAAGGTGATACTCCGAGGAAGCCTTAGCGTGAAGGCACAAATGTCAGCTTCCACAAAACATACAAATTTGAAATTGCTACTCCTTGTTTGCTGTGCTACTACAAACAGAGAATAGCAATTTCAAATTTGTATGTTTTGTGGAAGCTGACATTTCTAGATAGAGCTGGAATTAGGGCGTAACAGCTTTTGTAAACAATGACTTCTCTCGTTGATTTCTAGCAACTCAAGGCACGCCTACACAAACCAACATATCCATCGGGTAGGGGAAGTCTTCCCATATTCGATGGTAATGTTGATTTGCCAGCGAGAGTCTTTCGAGAAATCATCGAGAGAAGTCATTGTTTACAAAAGCTGTTATGCCCTAATTCCAGCTCTATCTAGATTTGTGCCTTTGAAGTTTCACGCTAAAGCTTTCTTAGAGTAGCATCTTAAGAACGTAAGTTTTGTTTTAAAAACTTTTTTTTTTCTTTGATTTTTTTTCCGTCGATCTTGTTTTCCGTGCTGAGCACCAATGCTACCGACGCCAGGGAGGCAGCTCCCAAACCTGGACCCTCCCCTATCGACCCATCAACTCATGAACCGGAGACCAACGGCTTTACTTCCCTCTCAGAACATAGGCGTGATCAGAGATGTTATGCCTCAGGACATCCCGGCGGCGCCGACTGGAATTGGACCCAAGCCTGCTGGGGTGAGAGGTAAACACGCTAACCACTACACCATCAGCGCCACTATTTTAAAGACTTTACGAGTCGTATATAATAAATTTTATTTAAAAAATAATAATATCGGAGTCATGATGAGTTCTTCTTATTATTCCATGGAGCCGACTTGCTATTTTGCCTCTGTTTTCTTCATTGCGAGCATCTGAACAAGTTTGCTTGAGGCTTAAATGTCAAATATTTAAGCTTTTTTTTTCATCAAATCATGGAAAACCAGCACTGCATCCTCAGGCCACTATACTCGTGCATGATGATGACGTTCCTGATGAGAATTTGGACACTGCTGAACTCTTACAACCAAATGCTGCTTTTGCAAAGATTCCAAGCACCCTGGCTCCTGGGCATCCTGGTGCCATGTCATCCAGGTATCAAAACGTTTCTCCGTATCAACTCCCAACTGCTGCTGCGATTGTGCAACGTAATGCTGGTACTGCTTCTGCGCTTTCCAATGTTGCTACTGCTCCTGATACTGTTGCTGAGCTTATGCATTCGGCTGAAAACTTGATCGCTGCTGCTCTTCTGCATCCGACTACTGCTACTATGCAATCCGTTCAACCTAATCCTGTTCTCGTTATGCAGTCGAATATCGCCTCCGTCGTACTGCCAATTTCAGTTCAGTCAGTGCAACAAATCATGTCATGTTCCCGAGGGGAAAAGATTGTGTTTTGCTGTGGCTAGCTGCACGCACGCTGAGTAGATAGAAGGAAGATTTATGTCGATTTTGAAGATTTCCTGCAAAAAGATGAAGCACGATGTTAGTAGATGCGAGAAATGAAAGATGATTTTTCGAAGATTGATTCGCTAGCGTGAGATTTTTTGAGCATCTAGAATTGAGATTTAGATGTGTCGCCCCCCTCGCATGTTCCAATGGACCAGCTACCTATCACAACTAAGATGTTGACGGGTATTTTATTAAGATATTAGTTGTAAATAAGAATTGAACATCTAATTTTTGTTTTTTTTTTTACAGGATCGTCTCCGACACATCCGGTAGAATATGATTCTGAGCCCCTATACTTAGATCAGGATGGTGCCATGTATTTTACGCCTTCAGTTGAGAACGCCAACATGGCCAATCTTCAAATAGCAGGTAAATGCAGGGACAGGGGTGTGAATTATTGCAACAATAACAATGGTTAATTATTTTTCTTAAATTTGATAGGATAGATGAGCTACGAACAGATGAAGGCTGACTTGAAGGTGTTCATCGAAGCGACTGTTGAGAAAGTGGTTGAAACAAGCTTTCAAATCAACTTTGCCCGTTTTGCTGCCTTGTTGGAAATTCAAAGAAAGGATGATTCCAAAAAACTGAAACCTGGTGATTTGGTGGAGAGGCATTCCCGTATCAACACTGAAGACGAGCTGATCCAGTGGAACATAAAGCTAAGCAACGAAGAGTTGTGTCGAAAATATGTAAGTACGTTTCTTTTAGAAAAAAAAAACAGTAAACGCATTTAAAAATTATTCTTTTCAGTTGGAATACTTTCCGAAAATTATCATCCCCAATGCCTACAACGACAAAGGTGACAACGCTTGCTACACCGTAGTCGATTGCTTGTTCACACGTGAATTTTGGACGAAGATGACATGGACTGGAATCAGCCGCAGCAATAAAGCGAAAAGGGGTTTCCGTGAATATGGAAATGTGACCCAACTTCTTTGCAGTATTGTACATATTGGAGATCCATCGTATACTGCAAATAAGCTGGAGATGTTTTGTCGAAATCACTTGTTTCGCTATTGCAAATCCCGGTCCACCAATCGTCAGCTTCGTAAGTCAGCATGTAGACAACGACACGGCCACAAGTCTAACGCACCTACTCTCGACACAGCAAACGAGGAGAGTTCATGAAACTCGAATGACACTGATGTTTCCGAAAACGTCAAACATGATGCTGGAGATAGTTCGGATGGTGAAAGCTATGAAGATGAAGTAGAGTTATACAGCGGAGGAAGTGATACCGGAAGCAGCACTGAAGATGAATGATTTTATGATTGATTGTTAAAAATATAAGGAGTGAACAGAATATTATTTTTTTCAATCCATTGTTATCTGTAACATATAACAAATAAATAAAAAATGAACAAGCAAAAGACACAACAAATACATTTTTCGTTTCCGGCATCTCGGACTGCTTAGGAACACATTTCGATTAATTAAAGGCTTTTAGTCTTTTAATTAATTCCGATCAGAAATCAACACAATGACCAAGACCAAGACAGAGAAGAAGGCGAAATCCGCCATCAACGAAGTGGTGACCCGCGAGTGCACCATCAACCTGAACCGTCGCCTGCACAAGGTTGGCTACAAGAAGCGCGCCCCGCGTGCCGTCAAGATTGTGCGCAAGTTCGCCGAGAAGGAGATGGGAACCAATGACGTTCGGATTGATACCCGTCTGAACAAGGCTCTGTGGCACCGTGGAATCCGGAACCCACCTTTCCGCATACGCGTGCGCCTGTCCCGCCGCCGCAACGACGATGAGGATTCACCCAACAAGCCGTACACCCTGGTCACCTACGTGCCGGTGCCGGCGTTCAAGGAACTACAGACGGAGAATGTTGAATCGACCGACGATTAGATGATGATGCGCTGTAAATTATTTTACAACAATATTCAGATAGAATAAGAGTTGGGTGTGGTGCGTTCGGTTCAACGTGCTGCAAAACGTTGCGTTTTTTTGTATGTTGGAATAAAGGAAAAGATTGGAGAGCAGAGTTGAAAATATAAGAAAAGTACTACAGGTGGAAATACTTTATTTAATACCAACGATTTCACAATTGAATCTTCGTCACTGAATAGTATGGATTAAAGGTATAAATACCACCCCTTCGTTTCTGATGAGTGGCACTAATTTGCAAAAAAGGTTATTGCTTTTATAATAACTAGTTTTAGATAAATTTTCTGAATTAAGCTTCGTAATATAAATATGAAGAAAGGATGATTTGAACGGTTTTTGGAAGAAATCGCATTTAAACTTAACTTTCTGACCTTCAATAAGCAATTCTGTTTCTTGATGTATACTTCCTGAGAAGCCTACTAGTTCAAATTGTTTTGTTAAAAACCATTTGTCTTTGAAATCATTGCAAAGCGTGAAATTTGAAAATATTAATTTACTTTTTGGTCCTTTTTGTTCGACTGTTACATGAAATGGTTTCTGATTTGTTGAAAACCTTGCATTTTTGGAACTAGCAGCAATCATTGACTCTGATATTCTAGCTGCAACTTGCGCCAATGGATTAGGCCCTGTTCGAACTAACTTTTTTAAGGAATGCATGTAGTTTTCGAATGGATACGCAGAGAGACATGGTAACGGTCCAAAATGTTCAACTTCATCGACTATGTGACATAGGTTATGAACATTGCTAGTTACGTATTCAACACCGTATAATGATTTATTGTTTTCAATGAAATCCAGTAGTAATGGTCTAGCTACTGGAATAAGATTCCCATATTTCTGAGCGGAACAAATTCGAACTACACAAACACGAACTACACGAACTACACAGCAAAACTATGCCAACATATTTCAAAAAATGTCGGTACTCCAGTCCTTTCCAAAGAGCGACAAAGTCTAGTGACCGCATCTGGCGATGAATTTCAATAGGATATTAATTAGAATATTGGATATTTCCTTCTTCTGAGCACAACTCCACTTTGTGTTCCTGGACATCGAACCCGTACGTCAACTAGTGAGAAGTTTCTGCACCACACCTAGTTCTAGCAAATGCAATGAATCTCCTACAATGACATCTCAAATCCTTTGGTTTGTTTTTTCCGTCGATCTTGTTTTCCGTGCTGAGCACCAATGCTACCGACGTGCCAGGAAGGCAGCTCCCACACCTGGACCCTACCTATCGACCCATCAACTCATGAACCGGGGACCAACGGCTTTACTTCCCATCCGAAGGAAGGCGTGATCAGAGATGTTATGCCTCAGAACATCCCGGCGGCGCCGACTGGGTTTGAACCCAGGCCTGCTGGGGTGAGAGGTAATCACGCTTACCACTACACCACCGGCGCCGTTAACATCTCAAATCATATCAATTAGTAATTTTACCAAGGGTGTGCTATTTCGCTGGTGGTTTGGATATGCCATCGAACGGAATTCTTCGTCAGTTCTTTTTGGTGCATCTAATTGTAGTACATTTTATATAACCATATTTCCCATTGAAGTTTATTACTCCTTTGATGAATGATCTGGCTGGGGTGTCGCATATGAAACAACGAAGGTTAACCATTATTTTGTGTCCATTTATGGCGATTCCGGATTCCAACAGGAGAAGGAGTTCGTCAATAAAGGGATTTAAGAATTCATTATTATCTTTCGATTTTCCAGTGCCATAGAATATTCCTACGACGATTGGCTGAATGCTAGGAAACTCGTGGATATTGCGTAAGATTGGCCAGAAATTCTTCGTTGTGCTTTTGTAGATTGGTAAACCGTCGATGTTCACATTAACCGAAACAGACAAAGGAGTTGTTATATCACAGAATATCCTCTCGAACCCTTGGTGCCAATATTGACCATGTTCGCCCATTGCACGAATTGCAAGTTTCTTGGTGTCCTCATGTTTGAACGCGGATCTTTTGGAAGATCTAGTCCTAGGTTAGTATTGAGTACATCTATGAGTGATTTCAACGCTAACTGTGAAATTTGATGATCAGTTGACCACTTTCGAATATCTGAAATTCTTTCGACTACAAATTCATATTAGAAAAGAAGTTAAAACTATAAAAGCATATTGTACGTTTACCTTCATGGTCATGTTCATGAGTAAACATATTTTCATCGTGCGTATCAATGTCTTCTGTGAGATTTTGAACAACTTCTGGTACACTAGTCTGGTAAGTGGTATTGACGCAATTAGTATTTAGGAAAGCTTTCTTATAAAGATCACGATGTTTCCTTAACAAGCGACTGTAAGTACCACGTTTTCTTATTTTCTTCAACTTGTTTTTCGTAATTATGTTAAACATGTTAACGCCTCATAGTTGTAACAGTTATGACGGTAACTTTTCATATACACAAATGAAATCAACAGCAACAAGTGTTGCGGCTACTAGTGCACTTAATTGTAGATGAAACTTTAATTGGAATTATATATGACGACTTGTAAACTTAGTTAAGATTATCGGTGTATCATAATATGAGCTTGAGCACTTATTGTCCTATGACTATATATCATTCATTAAACGATTCTTTTAAGATTTTCTGAGTACATGTGCGTATTTCAAGTATACTTCAAAACGGATCCGTCGTCGTTTTAAAATCAGTTATGATCGTTAGATTGATTTTTTTTATTACAACAAATGTACTTCGTTTCGAAGGATATACAATTCTGATTTAATGTTTATTCATTTACGATTTGAAATATGCATTGATATACGATATCTGGTTATCTGGGTGTACTATGGGTACATAACAATGGATGTCAGCCCGTCACAGCATAATCCTCATCGTGTATGCTTCTCCGACTTCGGCAATTCAGTTAGTTTTGTTTTTCTATGACGCAAGAGATTCGCAGAATCCCAGAGCATCATCGTTCCATGATTGCTCCGTCAATTTTCGCTGCAAAGTTTGGCCATGTTGATTCCGCAAGATCGTTCTTCACAGATGGATCACTAATAGAGGCGTCCGCTGGTTTTGATATTTATAACGAATTTCATAGCGCCTCTCGAATGCTTCATGCTCCTTGTTCCGTATATGTTGCTGAACTGGCGGCAGATCATTATTTTATTTTTACGAATAGTCTAAGTTCTGTAGATGCTATTCGCTCCTCGTATTTTCTCATGAAAATACAAGAGCTTCTAAGTGCTTTATCTTTCAGATCTTTTGTCATCACCTTTGGGTCCCATCTCATTGCTCGATTACGGGCAATGAGAAGGCGGACTCGCTTCCAAAGGTGGGCGCTATGGAAGGCGATATTTACGAGCGACAAATCGCCTACGACGAATTTTTCTTCATTTATCGTCAACAGTCACTCGCCAGCTTGTAAAATAAATGGAGTGAAGGGAGTTTGGGACGATGGTTATATTCAATCATCCCTAAGGTATCAAAGTGTCAAAGGTTTGGAGGTGGGTCGAGACTTCATTCGTGTGATGTCTCGCCTCATGTGCAATCACTATTCGCTAAGCGCTCACTTGTTCCGTGTTGGGCTGGGGGACAGTAATCTCTGTGACCACGGACCACGTGGTCTTATATAGTAAATGTTATTTATTAACTGTAGCAGGAGCTTGTGTTTTGTGTAGGAATAGGAATTTGAGCGGGTTATCTCTGTTTATACTCTTTAGTACGACGCGCTTGACATAGATGGCCAACAGCGACTCACGAAAAGCTACTGATTCCGATGAACAGTGGTGCGGCTTCTTCCTCCTCTATGCAATGATGCTCATGTGGGTTGCAGCTCAATGCTTTCAGGCGTTGTGTACTGGAAAACACCACCACTCACCACGCGGTGATTGAATAAACACCGTTTGGTGAGACGAAATGCTTCTCCCCGAAAGCTATACCCAATATGGCAGTCCCATCACGGTGGATAGGAGACCTTAGGCCAACCACCTACTGTCTGAATGAACTGACGCTAGCCCAACAGGGTAAACTGGCACAACTCGCCAACGAGGCCCGCCGTATGAAGCTAGAAATCCTGGGACTTAGTGAAGTCCGCTGGCCGAACTTTGGAGAACACAAGCTGCCTTCGGGACAGGTACTTTTATATTCTGGTATGCGAGGTGAAAACGCTCCACGACATCGTGGAGTTGGCTTTCTGCTTAGCGCCCAAGCACAGGCTGCACTTATAAAGTGGGAACCTATCAATGAGAGAATAATCGTTGCCAGATTCAGAACACGGGTCCGAAATCTTACCATAATCCATTGTTATGCGCCAAACGATGCTGCCGAATTGCAGGACAAAGAGAACTTTTACAGTCAACTGAATGCTGTCGTGGATAAGACTCCAAGAGGTGATATCAAGATCTACACAGGCAATTTTATGTGACAAGATCGGCTCCGAAAACTCGGACTATGAGCGCATTATGGGACGCCATGGTCTCAGAGATGTGAGCGAGAACGACGAGCTGCTTGCAGAGTTTTGTGGCAACAACGACATAGTGATCGGGGGTTCGCTCTTCCCCCATCACCCAGTGCATAAAGTCACATGGGTCTGCCATGATGGATATACAGAGAACCAAATCGACCACATCTGCATCAGCCGAAAATGGAGACGGAGCCTTCTTGATGTTCGGAATAAACGCAGCGCTGACATCGCTTCTGACCATCATCTCCTGGTCGGTGGGATCCGCCTACGCATTGCGCGGGTTCAACGGCGGGGGAGAGACTCGGCGGCGATTCAACACACGCCGACTGGAAGACCCAGCAGTGTAGAGATCGTTCGATCTCTCGCAGCTAATATTCCGGAAGGTGGCTGCGTAGAATAACAGTGGACGAGCATCTAGAATGCCTTTATTGAAACAAGCGAGAACAACCTGGGTGAGCTGTGCACTCAGAGGAAGGAGTGGATCACCGATGAAACCTGGAGGAAGATCGAGGAGTGGAGAGAAGCAAATGCCACGATAGAGCAAGCAAGGCCCCGAGGAACCAAGAACGAGGCCCGTCAGCGGTATTCGGCTCTAGAGAGGGAAGTTAAGCGTTCCTGTATACGGGACAAGCGAGCGTGGGTGGACTCACTGGCTGATGGGAGGGGGAGAAACCCGCAGCTACTGGTGATATGCGCCTCCTCTATGGTGTTTCA